TATCTCAAACGATAGCATAGAGTAATTAATTTTCTCTACTTTTATATCTAGTGCCAATGACCATACCGTGCATCCTGATTTCCAAGGTGCTTATCTTGCCTTCACTTTGCAGGTATTTTATCTCTTTTGTGGTTAGTTGATTGTAGTCTAAAGACCTACTAGTTTTTTTGTTCATGGGATAAACTTGTCGGGTCATGGTCCATCTTTTGGTCAGCTAATATCTAGATCATCCATGCATCTGATGATCAATTGTTAATAATTTGCTACTATATTAAAGGACTCAGCTGGTGTCCTTCATCTTAAGAGATTGTCCGCTGCTGGTATCACTCATATCCATCTTCTTCCAACCTTTCATTTTGCTGGTGTTGATGAAAAACATAAGTGGAAACATGCAGGTGAAGATATATCTCTATTATGTTATTACTTGAATGAAGGTCTCTTTCAAGTAAAGTATTTTATATGCATGCCTACATGAATTTTTTAATGTGTAGAAATAAAACAATCTCAGATGGTGCACGACTGTTTCAGCAAAACAATGCATAAACTTTCACGAGCTTCACTATTGTAATGTCCTTGCTAGTTTTTGTCTAGCTGCTATAGTGATTCACACGCATTTTAATGTATGACCTGTCTTTTGATAGGTCTAAAATTTCCAATTTTCTAGGATTTCAATATGTATTACATAGTTAGAGAATTCCGATGTTCATCAGTCTAACCGTATATTGCTTTAGGTTTTTAATATTTGTTTTTGTTTCTTGATATCTTTGGGTGTGAAACCCTTTATCAGATTTTGAGAAGCTGAAATCTTTTCCACCGGATTCATATGAACAACAAGCTATTATCACAGCCATCCAAAATAAAGATGGATACAATTGGGTGCTTGACCATGCGACTAGCACCTAGCGAATTTTAGAACATTGGGTTAAAATAGCTACTTGATCAACTCCAATCGCTTAGATTTGTCATTTTGTTGAAACAATTGAACTATTTAATTAAAAACATAAACTAAATTGGTATAGACCAATTATTGTTTGGTAGCCATTACTGGCTTATTCTATAATTCACTTGACTGCAGGTTTACTTGACTGATATATCGCATATCCAACCTTATATTTTCAAAATTGTCAATTTTCTTATTTCTTTTTTCAGAAAATGAATTGATATTCCAGGTAATAAGTTGGCCAGCCTCAAGAGGTCCAGCCAAACAAGAATTATAGAAGAGGTACCGATGGAGTAATTCACTCAATTGGCACCGATGATTACAGAAGAGGTACATAGTCTATTGTCTGATCGCACCCAAACAAGAGGGTCCGCCTCAAGAAAAAGCCTTATTCTCAGGAATAAGTATAAGTGTATAACAAGGGATTCAGTGCAGCTGCTAAAGTTTCTTAGTGGCGTTGGCAGTATAAGAATGATGGCTTCATTCTGGTGTAGAAGAAAATGTGATGTCTACGTATAAGAAGAATGTGAACGCCTTGGGAAGCATGGTGTAAAAGTTGGACTAGTCAACATTTTGTTCTTGTGTGTTATTTATTGTTTTGGGGATGCCGCTATGAATTATGTACTATGTACATTCACGTTTATGTGAGAATTTGAGATAAATAAAAACTTTGATATAATGGTTATTTATTAGTATTATTATATCATATTATATATATATATATATATATTGTAATCAATATATCATGTGTGTTTCATTGTACTATGATGCTGAGATGTCATAAAAATCTATGATGCTGAAGTGTCATTAATTTTTGTGATGTATTTACGTCACAATGTGTTCTTGATGCATAAATGTCGCTATTTTAGACGATACATTAGTGTCATAATTTGTTGACACAAAACTGTACCCGCATTAGTGACACTTTATTTAGTGTCACTAGCCGACACTTTCCCCGACACTTTTTTAGTGTCGCAGAAAGTTTCTGTGACACTAAATTAGTGTCACTATAGGCCCTTTTTCTACTAGTGTGCAAAGATCGGTTCCAAAGTAAAAGGAGAAAGTATCCTATTATAACACAACTACACTATTAATAAAATATTCTATAATAAATGTACTCCATAAATAGATTATCTCGTAATACCCTCCCTCAAGTTGGAGCATGGGGATCAAGAATGCCCAACTTGCTAAGAAGAGTCTGAAATTGAGCCTTTCCCAGAGCTTTTGTGAAAATGTCAGCCAACTGAAACGTGGTAGGAACATAACTGGGAGCAATTAAATTAGCCTGAATTGCATCACGGACAAAGTGACAGTCAACCTCAATATGTTTAGTACGTTCATGAAAGACCGGATTATGAGCAATATGCAGGGCCGATTGACTATCACAATAGAGAGGAATAGCTTGAGGATGATGAATTCCTAAGCTCAAAAGGAGTGCCTTTAACCATTTATGCTGGCATGTCGCAGCAGCCATGGAGCGATATTGAGCCTCTGCTGAGGAGCGAGCCACAGTAGTCTGTTTTTTAGCTTTCCATGATACAGGTGAATGACCCAAGAAAACTAACCAACCAGAAAGAGATCGACGAGTAATAGGACATGCAGCCCAGTCAGAATCACACCATCTTGTAAGAGTAAGATCCCCGTCAGATCGTAAAAGAATACCTTGTCCAGGAGAATTTTTAAGATAACGCACTACGCGTAATGCAGCATCCCAGTGAGCAACGCAGGGGGTTTGCATAAACTGGGACAAAATATGCACGGAATAAGTAAGATCTGGGCGGGTAACCGCCAAGTAAATGAGGCGACCAACAAGCCGTCGGTATTGCTCCGGGTCTGCAAAAGGAGGCCCAGAGGTAGTAGCAAGATTATGGTTTTGTTCAATGGGGAAAGCAGCAGGCTTTGCACCAAGTAAGCCGGTTTCGGTGATAATATCCAAAGCATATTTACGCTGAGTTAGGAAGATACCGGATGGGCTTCGAGCAACCTCGATTCCAAGGAAATATTTAAGAGGACCCAAATCCTTCATATGAAAGCAAGTATGAAGATATGACTTAAAACCAGCAATAACAACACTATCATTTCCCGCAATGAGAAGATCATCCACATAGACCAGCACATTAAGCTGACTACCACCACGAGTGAGAGTAAATAGAGAATAATCTGCATAAGATTGCATAAATCCATAGCCTTTCAGGCAGCAACAAGTTTGGCGAACCAACATCGTGGTGCCTGTTTAAGTCCATACAAGGACTTATGAAGACGACATACCAACTTGGGATCTCGTGTTTTGTAGCCGGGAGGGATCTTCATGTACACTTCTTCATGCAAATCACCATGAAGAAATGCATTATGCACATCCATTTGATGGAGTTCCCAATTTTTGCAAGCAGCAATAGCTAAGAAAGCACGTACCGTAACCATTTTGGCAACTGGAGCAAAAGTTTCGGTATAGTCAAGTCCAGCAACCTGTCGATTTCCAAAAATGACCAAACGAGCTTTAAGACGTTCTACACTGCCATCTGCTTTATGTTTAACTTTATACACCCAGCGACATCCCAAAGCTCGTTTTCCGGGGGTAAAGGAACCAAGGTCCAAGTGGCATTTTTTCAAGCGCGTCAATCTCAGAACGCATGGCATCCTGCCATCCAGCTTCTTTAACAGCATCATGAAAAAATTGTGGCTCCGTGACTGAAGATATAGCTGCTAAGAAGGCACGATGTTTTGTAGAAAAATTATCACAATTAACATTGTGTGTAATAGGAAACGGCGTACCTGAGGAAAGTGACAGAGCGGGTTGAGTGGGAAATGGACCGTTTCGAACAATCGTATGAGTAACATAATCTCGAAGTCGGACGGAGGGGTGACGATCCATTTTTCCACGACCCAAATCAGGAGCTGACGACATGACTTCGGTGTTATCTATCACGGGTGGAGTGTTAGGCATGGGTTCAGAGGAAGCTACTAGAAGTGTTGTTTGAGAGATGGGCAAGGGGATTTCAGCATAGTCCAAAATAGGCATATCTAATGACCCATCCTCAACACCCATATCCTTAGGAGTGGGGTTAGCAAATGGAAATATTTCTTCAAAAAATTTAACATCCCGAGACCTAAAATATTCGCCGGTGTCTAGATCATAAACCGTCCAACCTTTCTTTTCAAATGCATATCCCACAAAGACACACTTGCGACTCCGACTAGTGAATTTGTCACCTTTTGATTTCATATTAAAGGCATAACATAGGCAACCAAAAACACGCAAAGATTTATAGCAAGGTGAAGCGCCAAATAAAATTTCATATGGTGTCTTATAATCCAGTATGAGTGGGAAATGGACCGTTTCGAACAATCGTATGAGTAACATAATCTCGAAGTCGGACGGAGGGGTGACGATCCATTTTTCCACGAACCAAATCAGGAGCTGACGACATGACTTCGGTGTTATCTATCACGGGTGGAGTGTTAGGCATGGGTTCAGAGGAAGCTACTAGAAGTGTTGTTTGAGAGATGGGCAAGGGGATTTCAGCATAGTCCAAAATAGGCATATCTAATGACCCATCCTCAACACCCATATCCTTAGGAGTGGGGTTAGCAAATGGAAATATTTCTTCAAAAAATTTAACATCCCGAGACCTAAAATATTCGCCGGTGTCTAGATCATAAACCGTCCAACCTTTCTTTCCAAATGCATATCCCACAAAGACACACTTGCGACTCCGACTAGTGAATTTGTCACCTTTTGATTTCATATTAAAGGCATAACATAGGCAACCAAAAACACGCAAAGATTTATAGCAAGGTGAAGCGCCAAATAAAATTTCATATGGTGTCTTATATTCCAGTATAACAGAAGGAGTGCGATTAATAAGATGTGCCGCAGCCAATACACATTCACCCAAAAAGTAATCGGCAAATGCCCCTGAAACCTCAATGCACGAGCTATATTTAAAATATGCCTATGCTTGCGTTCAACGCGTCCATTTTGTTGGGGTGTACCAACACAAGATGTTTGAAAAATAATGCCACTTTGATGAAAAAAATCTTTCAAACAATTAAACTCAGTTCCATTGTCACTCCTTACAATAACAAGTTTCTTACCAAACTGGCGTTCCACCATAGCTACGAAAGACAAGAACATTTTAAATACTTCTCTTTTATCCAAAAGAAGATAAAATCATACCGCTCGAGAATAATCATCCACAATAGTTAAAAATTGTTTAGCACCACATGAGGCAGGTGTATGATAAGGTCCCCATAAATCACAATGTATTAATTCAAAAATACCATGAGTTGTACTAGAGCTAATCGGAAAAGGATCCCTAGTTTGTTTCGCTCTAAAACATACATCACATGGTAAAATTTCAGAATTTTTTATTCCACTCACAGGAGCTAATTTTTCCATCACTTGTGAACATGGATGTCCCAGTCGCTGGTGCCACAATTTCACAACTTTATTCTGTGAGCCTCCTCTAATAGTCAAAACTCGAGCAGCCAAATCCTCCCGCAGATAATACAGTCCATTTCGCCCCTCACCCGTTCCAATCAGCTTCCTCGAGAGACGGTCCTGAATAACACACATGTTATGAGTGAATTGAACAAAACATTCCAATTGGATACTCAATTGCGAAACAGATATAAGATTACAATTTAAATTTGGAACAAAGAGAACATGTTCTAAAATTAAATTGTCTGATATAATCACACGCCCTGCTTTGCTGGCCATAATCGTCTGTCCATCTGGCAGACCAACCGTACACGATTCAATATTTTTAATCTGACATGATAGAGTCAAATTTCCACAGATATGATTAGTGGCACCCGTATCAATTATCCAAGCATCAGTATCAAACTTACCGACCATTCGGTCATTAGAGGATGATAGATTACCAAAGGTTGAAATCAGAGATTTCCATTGTTCAACGGAAAATCCTGGCAAAGGCGTGGACTGACCAAAACTGCCGTCCCCAGTACTAGTACTTGGTTGTGACATTTTTGAATTTTCAACCGCAGCAGCATGTGCCTTTGCCGAGGGTTTGCCACGATTTGCTTCAGATGTATTTGGTTTACCCCGTCCAACACCTTTAGGCACTGCCCGAGGCCTATCACCCCACCAATCGGGATATCCGTGTAGTTCAAAGCAACTCGATATCTCGTGTCCAGAGTATTTGCAATAGGAACAAATCAGCCTGGCTTTATCCACCTTTGTCCCGCGCCCCATGCCTTTTCCTTCAGTACGAACAGCAAACCCAACCACATCTGGTCGTTCATCCTCGGTTTGTACAATTCCATGGACACGCTCTTCCTGAGACACCTGCTGGTATGCACGGTTGAGGGTGGGAAGAGGTGTCTGCCCCAGTAATTGAGAACGTATGTTCCCAAATAAATCTTGTTGCAGCCCCATGAAAAATTGATGGAAATGTTCCTTCTCTCTTCGTGTTTCATGCTGCCCAACAACGTCGCACGTACACTTGCTACACGTGCAAGCAATCAGTGGTTCATATTTGTTGAGATCATCCCAAAGCATTTTCAATTTGGCGTAGTAGGTTCCAATCGTCATGCCCCTCGTCTGCACACATCTGGCCAGATCACTTTTCACCTGATGTATCTTGGGTCCATCAACAGATGAGAAGCGCTCCTTTAGGTCCTTCCATAGTCTACGAGCATCGTCATACCTTGACAGCGTGGCTTTAACTTCAGGGGTAATTGTATTCATCAGCCACGATACTAGCATCGAATGTATCGTTAGCCAGTCGTCCTCCGTGCAAGGGGGCACCGGTTTGTTGATACTTCCGTCAACAAAAACAAACTTCCGTCTAGCCCTCAAGGCCAATCGAATAGCGTTCGACCAGTCATCATAGTTGTCTCATGTTAGCCTCACCGGTGTGATAAAATCACCCGGTCATGTAACTTTAACATCTCCAGATTTCCCTCACTCTGCAGTGGATAGACACTTTAACAAAGTATTCACAGTGTTACGGAGTATTATTTATTTATTCTATATATATACGAGTTGTATGAGATTATTTATGGTAGACTATTGTTGTAAGCACAATGACAACTTTAATCCAACATACCGAAATATCAAAAAACGATCTGGTGGCATCTGATCTATGTAGAAGCTAGTTGCTCGCATATGATGATGATTTTATTTGTTCTAGAAAAGTAACAATATTTTACCTTATTTAGGTAAATAATTAGAATTGACTAGTTAAAGTCACTTGACTTCGATCTGTTTTGTTTATTTTAACTTGATTAAGATCGTATTTTAGTCTAATGGTAATTATTTCTTTTCATGTGACTTACAGTTTCTCTTAATCGTACGTATGTTCCCGAAATAGGATTAAAACAGTTTGAAAATTTCAAAATAGGACTGCCAAGTTTTTTATTCCCAAAATAGGACTAATTACTGACATGTTTTGATAGTACCAGACTTCAAACATTGTAGTATTTTACATACAAACTAAGCATGACATTAGGATGTTGGGAGTAATGGAGTAGGAATAAAATTAGTGGAGTTTGAGAAAGACATAACGTTACGTTTTAGTAATATTAGTGATAATTTTCTTTATATATTTTCAATTTATGAGTCATGTTTATCATTTTTAACCAAACAAGTCACTTTAAATTTCGCGGTCTAAATTGTGTGATATCATAATGAGTAAGATTATAGTTACTTTTCAGGTTAATTGACTGAAATTACTATAGACGATCATTTGTGTTATTCTTTCATATATAAACGTTTTCTTTATTTGAATAATAAAATATACTCCCTATTTTAAATAATTTGTAGAATTCAGCAGATTCTAGACTATGGACTGTAGTTGTCCGGTCATGTAACTTTAACATCTCCTGATTTCCCTCATTCTCTGCGGTGGATAGACACTTTAAACGTTTAAAACTACTCATGTAACAATGTAACATGTTAATGTTATAGGGTAACCTTAATTTTACGTCACCTCGCATGCTCTTTTCTATTTTGACCGCAATCTACTCCTAATGATCAATTTTAAAGGATAGAAAAAATTTAACTTTGAACTTGTATGAGTCTAGTATTTAAGATGTTTTTATTTGGCCTAAAATATTTAGTTCTTGCTGTTTTAGATCTGGTCAGGGGTGTTTAGGTTTGATCTAGCACGGTTTGAGTTGATTTGGTCAAATAGAAAATCTGTTTATGTATGTTACACTTTTATATAAGTCTGATATAGTATATATGGATTAATTTGATTTGATACGGGAGAGATTAAAATTGTAACACATTTCTCACGATATCATTGACATTTATAAATCTTTCGAAAACGAGTCTAGTAGAATCGGTTATTGTGTGTGACGTTAAACTCTAGACCGTAATGAGATCTCGAAGAGCATTTTGAGACTTTGTTATTAACAAAAATACTATTAATGGTTCCTGCACGACTTACCATATTTGATTAATCGTAAAATTAATTGATCATTGTTAATGTGAGAGGTACACCCAGCCCACGGTTCCTTCTTTACTTAGCCCCTTTGTGTTTGGCCCTTTACCCTTTTTTGTTGGTCAGAGTGCAAATTGGATTTTTTTTTTTAATTTTAAGAACTGAATTGAGCTTACACAACCGGTATAGGGGTCTATTTGACCCTTTAGCCTAATAATATTTAAAAGAGGTGAGAAATATATTATAGAAAAAAGTGTACGAATATGAAAAAATATATTACACATATATAAGTGCATAATACAAAAAACATTATAGAAATAAAAATAGTAAACGAATGTGATAAACTTATTTTATTTAGATTAATAATGCAAAAAAGTGTATAATACAAAAAAAATATTGAATTACAAAAAAATGTATAATAATAAAATATAACAGAAATAAAAAAATTGTATGAATGTGAAACGTAATATATTTACTTTATTAAGATTGATAGAAATAAGAAAATAGATTGATTTGTAATTTAAGTTGAAGATAAAAATATTAAAATTGTAATGGCATTTTTAGTATTTACTGGAGAAGAAAAAAGAACAGTGGAAAAGGAAAAGAAGTAAAAAAAATATAAAATACGTAAGTGTGTGCTACTGTGGATGACAAAAATTATATCGTGGGATCGGCCCAAACAGTGTAGTTTTATTAATTAAAAAGAAAACTAACCTTATTCCGTAAAGTGAAACCAGCTCTCTCCTCCGTCCAAACCCACCGCAAGCAGGAAGTATACTCAGCGATCTTTATCGGTCACTGCATGGGATTCCTTTTACATTGCAGCCAATCCTCTTTTCTTCTATCTGCTGCGCGCCTACTCCATCTCTTATCCTTTCCTATATTCGTCACATTACGTATAGTACGACCACATAGATTTAATTCGTATGTATGTATGTACATACAGATAAGAGATCAAGTAATTAAGAGAGTACGTAGCTCTAGCTATCTATCTAGGTACTTATAAAATATTGAACAAGTTACATTTTGACTTGGCTCAAGTTACATTCGAAAATACTTACAGTTACATTTTTGTGTGCGCGAGTTACACCATTCATGTGCGCGAGTTACATTTAGAGTTTTTCTATCAACTTTGCCCAACAAGTTACATCTTCCTTATACGTGATTTACATTTTGCATAATACGAGTTACACATGAATATAATATGAGTTACACAACACAATAAGCCCATGCTATTCAAAGAAAAATCATTTTCATAAAAAATCATTTTTATAGCACTGATATAAAAAACAAGACATATACACAATTTATGTTAAATAGTTGGACAATTAAACTCCTTTTTTCCATTGAAATCAATTTTTTATTTCTTATGTTATGTATTTAACTAGTTACATTTCGACTAGACTTGAGTTACATTCATCAATCACGTTAGTTACATGTCTTTACACGTGAGTTACAACATTCTGTTACTGGAACAAGAGAAAAATAAAAAAGAAGTATTGTTCACGCGTGTACTGTTCACGCGAGAATTTTTTATTTAAAAAGCGTTGCAAAACTGTGTCGTTTTGGATCAGGAGCACGGTGCTCGCCGTGGGATGATCCCACGGTACAGGAACGGGTGGATTTGTGTTCCTCCTATATTTATAAAAGTCAAATGTAAATAGGGGTTCCAAAGTGATGAGATGGGTAATAATCTATTCAAATCGATGAATGGATGGGCAGGCTTTTAATTAGGCAGAGATTAAGCTGTAGCTTACACGTCATGTTGAGAGATGACAAGGGCATTACGCGTGTCAATCTATTATGTATCCACATTTCTTTATCACCACATGCATAAATTGGCCTGGTAAGAACGCACTGAAAAATTCGAATTGATCGAAGAGGGTAATTAAAAAGCTAGATTAAAAGAGGATCGGATATGGAGAACAAAGTCGGCGGGAATGAAGAGAAGGGGAAATTGGAAGGTCTGCCATTGGAAAGCAGTCCATACACGCAATACCAGGACATAGAGGATTACAAGAAACAGGCTTATGGGGCGGAGGGTCACCTTCAACCCAATCCTGGCCGTGGTGCCGCCAGTTCCACCGATGCCCCCACCAGTACTCCGTCCGGCACCGGCGCAGATCTCAATCAGGCTCAACCACTTTCCGCCGCCGGTGGAAATGATCGCCAGCGGGCGCCATGATTGCAGATGTTATTGTATGTTTTGTGTCAATATGCGCTGGTAATAATAAAAGAGCATATTTTCATATAGACTCAACACCTCGGAGTGAATTTTTTTTTACCATTTCATCACTCATATTATCAAAAAGAAATTATTGTGGGACATCCGGTAAGGAAATTATGGACCTACATAATTGCGGAATTGAGAGAATTTATTAACATTTGTGCAATAATAATATATACGACGTATATTATATATATATATATATATATATATATATATATATATATATGGAAGAGTTCAAATAAAACGACCTCTTCCCGTGCAAAGTGCGAAGATATGCACTTTTGCATCTTTCGCTTGCACTTTTGCGTGTTTCTGTTGCACTTTTTCGCGGTAACGAAAAAGTGCAACATATTTACGAAATTGCCATCGCGATTTTGGTCGAATTTTGTGCATTTTTGGCTCATTTTGAGCCATTAGATGTAGAAATGAATGCACAAGATTCATTCTCACTTTGCATGGGAAGAGCTCTTTGTATTTGAACCATCCCCTATATATATATATATATATATATATATATATATATATATACTCACATACCTATATAGGTTTTGGTTCAAATAAGAACATGATCTTATGAGAAAAATGAGAATAAATCTGGACCGTTAGATTTGCTTTATGTGAAATTCAATGTGCATTAGATGAAATTGTCATGTGTAATAAGTGAAATTGAAATGTGCAACACAAAGGGTACAATGTTGTGGCATTATGGGAAGCTAAATTGTGCATTAGGTGGATTTGAAATGTGCATTAGATGAAAATAAAATGTGCAAAATTCCCCACGGAAACTGGGGTGGGCGTGACCCGTACGGATCTAGATACGGCTAGAGCATGTTACAAGGAAGCGGTGAAGAAGATGACTGAGAAGGACATGAGGGTCAACAGCATAGGGGAGAAATCCGGGAAGGGGTGATCCTGATCCTCCAGAGATTCAAGATCTTGTTTGCCAGAGGGCCGGATGATATGCCAGGAATTGATCCAGAAATCATCTGTCACAAATTGGCTGTTCGGCCGGATGCCAGACCCGTACAGTTGAAGAAAAGGTATATGGTGGTCGAACGGAAGGACTTCATCAAAGTGGAAGTCACCACCCTGCTCGACATACGCCACGTTTGGCCGGTTATGCATGTGGAGTGGTTTTCCAACGTCGTCCTAGCACCTAAGGGGACCACGAGGCGGATGTGCGTCGATTACTCCGATCTCAATAAAGCGTGCTCAATGGACCCCTACCCTGTTCCGAGGATTGATCTGTTGGTGGATGAAACCGCAGGGTGAGAGCTGCTCAGTTTCATGGATGCTTTCAGGGGATATCATTAGGTGTTCATGCATCCAAAAGATGCTGAAAAGACTGCCTTCGTCACATCAGACGGGTTGTATTGCTATGTGGTCATGCCGTTCGGCTTGAGGAATGCAATGGCCACCTTCCAGAGGATGACCGGGATATTGTTCAAGGACGTCC